TACAGGAGTGGGGCCTCGCTAAAATTAATGACCAGTAAATTTGGAGTAAGTAATTGCTGCTTCAGAGGGTTTGCATTAAGCCTTTATAATTCACCAGTGCCTGAGGTCACGGAGACACATGGGGGGAGATTTACAGCGTGCTTACCTTCTCCAAAGTGGCTGTGGAAACAGGACACCCTCTTTTCTGTCTCCCAGTGACTCTAGATCAATTTTTTTTTTTGGTGATGACAAGCTAAAAAGAAGCTATTTCTGAATGTCCCCGTGTCAGATGCAGGCTGGGCTCTTGAGAGCTTGCAGCCACCCCAGCGGGAAAGCTGCTCCGAGGGAAAGTTGGGTCAAAAGCTGGCACTAAATAACCTCAAATCCATCATGTTCTCCCTGAGCCATCGCAGGACAGAAAGAAGTAAGATTAATAAATTATTCTTGCCAGAGAAGGCGTCCTCTCAGACTTGCATAGCAGAAAGCGCAGTTCTCGCATAGACACTTTGCTGAACATAAGCACGCTGGATGATAATGTGATTAACATTTGTAGCTCTGCCGGCTCAGATAAGGGTAATTAAATCTCACGCTTCAGGGCATCAGCTAATCACTTGTGGGGTCATTTTATTTTTTTTTATTTTTTTACCCCTTCATGAATATATTTGCCCGGTTGCTGCGATGCAGCACGTGCGTCCGCTGCCCGTGGCGGATGGAGGCAGGAATCCCCACACCCGCTGATGCTTGGCTTTGCACTGGGAGTTGTACTGGAGCAAGGAGGGTCTCCGAAAGGGTCAGTAGGCAGAGTCCGGGCACGGGGCTGTGCCCTTCCGGTGGGAAGTGTGAAGGTAAGAAGCCACAGCTGGCTGAGCTGAGGAGGAGAAGCTGCTCCTTCACCCGAGGGTGTTGCTAACAGGAAGATGAAACAAATGTGAGTCACCAGCTGATCTTCCACTACTGTGGGCCAAAATCCCACTGGGAACTTGGTTTTCAGCGCCTCGGCAAGGGGACAAGGTGCCCCAGGGCTCGGCAGAATCATGCTGTGGACCAGCACCCGGTGGCCGTGACCCCATCCAGGAGGACCACAGCACTCCGGCTGCTCCCCAGCACCTGTATCGGGCTCTCCTGCTCCCCCCAAAAAACCCTTTCTTTCAGGGATGCTGTGGGATGCTGGTCCTTTCTGGAGGCTCCCCATCAGCTGTGTGAGGTGATACCAGCACTGCGGAGCACAGCAATGCAGCCCTACGCTGCACCACGCCACGGCTGTATTGCATGACCTTCAGTGTGTTCCTTAAGGTCAGATTCCCCCAAAACATCTCTAGTCTGTGTATCTAGTGTCAGAAGGACAGGAGAACAGCGGCACAGCGGGCTCTGGCTGCCTGAGCCCTCCTCCTTGTACCTGAGCCACCACTAATTGCCTTTACCCCACCAGTACGCCGAGAGGGAGGGAGCCGCTGTCTGTTATCTGTCACCTGAGGCAAGGGGTGCGTTTTATGTCTCGGCCAAGGTTACCCGAAATGTCCCTCAAAGCCAGGGGTTTGAACTCAGTTTAATCCAGGGGACTGCCTGCCTCCTCAGCCCACCCTGCCAGTCCCAGAGCTCAGGAAAGCCTTTGGCTGTTTGACCTTTCCCAGCATCAAGACTCCTTCATCTGGAAGTCAGCTCCCTCCCAAGGCAGGGACGAACTCTGGGTCGGATGCTACGGGGGACCAGGGCTGCGAGGGAGAAACAGCCTTTCCTTCTATAATGACTCACTATCTGCAAAATGCCCCGAGAGACCTTCAGGTCCCCACCAGGAGAGCGCAGTGAGTCGGAGAGTGGTTCTGTGTGCATCGTGCTGGAGAGAGCAGCATGGTCCCCACTCCTGCGAGTACTGGGCATCTGCTCCATGGGCGTTGGGGGGATGCTGGGGAGCAGAACAAGAGGCAGAGGAGGATGCTGGGGGGCTAGCAGGTGCTGGGAGCGGGTGGGTTTGCTGGGCTGTCTCCTCATCCCATGGGATAAACCTGGCTCCACCGCTGATGGGAACCGCAAGGTGATGAAGGTGCTGCCGTGCCTCTGGGAAGCAGCGTGGACCCCCAGGTGTGAACCTGTGCGGAGGTGGCGGTGGCTCTGCCGTGCCCGAGACGGAGGCACGTGTGGCAGCACATGCCCATGGATGCTGTCACATCCCTCCCCTCGTCTGTGTCTCTGCCCTTTGCACAGAACCCCACGGCTTTGATCAGAGCTTCCAGAGAGCACAAAAGCCTGGCAGAAACTCTTT